ATCTCTATAGATGTAGGTGTCCAAAGTTATTCGGAGAGAATAGGCTGGTCAGAATTGCGTAGATGACAGAGTTGTGCGCAACCGTGAGACTAAAAGACAGAAGTACCAGTAGACCAACGTTCAACTCCAATCTGAATAAAATTCAAGAGCACATCAACATCACCTGGCTTGGCACAATCTCAAGTAATTCTAGACATAAACGCTAAGCACATTGTCCGGGGGGACCGGAAGAATGCTTGTAACGCTAAAAGTTGTATCCATTGGTTCCTAACACTGAATTCATTCATAGTTTACTTGCTGCGAGGATAAAGTCCATCAGAGCTGCATTGTTAGGAGGTCATTCAGATGGGTGAATTCCGCATCTTGAACTTATAAACGGATAGAGACCATTCATTCTCTCAGTTCGAAACTTTGCTATTAGTCTTTCAGTGAAGGCTGAACAGAGCTGTGCATAACCAACGAAAACGCATAAGCTAGGAGCCATTAGCACACTAGATTACGTATATTTGACGAGTGTTAATATGCAGGGAGGGAAGTTCTGAGGGCTTATATAAATGTACAATGTTGGAAGGAGTATAAACAAAAGGACGAGAGACTGAATAAATAAAATGCGGGACTCGGCTTGTAAGTGCACTCAGTCGAAGAAACTTGGTGTCTGCAGCGCTGGTGGCAGCGGCGGCAGCAGCAGCAGCGATGGCGACCGGATCCGACCCTTGCTGCAGTTGTCCTAACGACTGCGACTTGTTGGGGTCACTGCGGTCTGGTCGTTTTGCGTGGGGAGGGGAATGCGGCCTGCAAATGGCCCAAAGGCCAGACCACTACCCCCTGCCAAACCGGCCATGGCGTAGCGATTGAAGAGTTGCTGATGCCAGTTTATTTGGCTGTTCTCTTCCGCCTCTTTGGCTGCTTTTTCGGCAGCCTCTGCGGCCAGCGCCGCCTCCATGCGACGCTTGCGACTGCGTGTGAGGAAGAGGAGCATAGCCTTGTCACGATTTTGCACACAGAAGCCCAGAACTGTGCCGAAGATGAGCACTAGGACGAGGGTGAGGAGAGCCATGTTCAGGAGCGTCTTCACGTAGCGCGGTACCGGCAGGAGGTTGCGTTCGGATCGTGTGACCTTGATGACAGGTTTCTCGTAGACACACTGCTGGCAGGTACAGTTCTTGATCACATCCTCCCTGGCTATAGTTGTCGCACTCAATGGCATAACCTAAAGCAGACCATCACAATTTGATGTTATAATTTTTTATGGCGATGTTTGATCCTGCAGCCCCACATGAGTGATATCACATGGTTTGTTTTCTAAAAAAATCTTGATAGATACAAATACACGGACTTTACAAATACCACGTATTTGCATCTTCCTTACCATTTTACTTCAGCGAATGACTGTGCTACGGGGGGAGGAGTGCTTATGCGCCGGTCTCGGTTACCTCAGTTATCAGCTCACACGCGCTTCCCTCTGCGTGGTTCGAGCGCTGCACACGCTCTCTTCATTATCCTAATCCAGCGAATGGCCAAGTAGACTTGCTAATGGAATGATTCCGACGGTGGGGAACTTCGTCGGTTCTACTTCAGTGCCCATGCACTGCGAATTACCACGCGGTCCCCTCAGTGGCCTTCCAGTTGTGACTGCTTCCCCCCCTCCCCCCTATCTTCTGAATCCAGCGGGTGACTGTGTCGAGGGGAGAGGGAGAGTGTGTACGCCACCTTCACTCGCTCCACTGCGCGTGTTTCGAGCTCTGCTTTAGCTGTCCTTCCCTTCCTAATCCAGCGAGTGGCTAAGCTAGGTATGTTAACTAAAATTGTTTTAGTAAGCTAACCATATGGTATCAATGAAGTGGGGCCGCAGAACTAAACCTCGCCAATTTTATAACCAAGGTAACCACGGGCTTAGGGATAGTTAAACTTCCATTTCAGGGACAATCTCCAACTTTGTCTACTTTCTGTTATCTTACTTATCGTATTTAGATGTGAGGCCAACGTTACTATGTCGGCCTAACATGCCATTACAAATAAGCCAGAAACTGGCAGACTGTCGAACATGAAACAAACGTAAATAGATTGCTTTTGGTTTTGAAAAAATGTCACTTCTGTCAAAATCTCTGGCTACAATCAGAGCCCTCCGCCAACCTGACTTATTTGTCGAAGTCTTCCTACCCTTCTCGAGGATAATGTGAGGATTTCGCATATTTTAATCACTCATTTTTTCTGGTATACAAAACAGAGCCCAATCAGGCAATTTTCCTGTGGGGGTCCGTAGAGGTTGATTAAAATTGAGGAAGTCATGCAAAATATCAAAATTTGACGAATTGTCTACGTATTTCATTTTCTCAGCAAACCCCATAGGATGGTCTCTAATAATGCGCGACCTCGAAGAGTTGAGCAGAGTCAGCTAATATATTAATATACGTGATCTTAAACATAGAAAAAGGGCAGTAACCGATAAAATTATGCGACATGCCCTTCCCATTAGCCCATGTGGCTTAATCTAGAGCCCTCGCTAGTAGTTGCCTAGCGACAAGTGATATATGCAGAGAAGGGGGTACGAACGAAGACAGGGTGCCCGGGATGTCCATTTGCGGCTTATTAATCGTCGTAAGCCAGCCACACCCAACTATAATTCTGGATGGCATGAACTTCGCACCCGCGTTCTTTGATCATTGTGCGTTTTGAAGTTCAACGTTCTACCATTAAGTCACGGGCCCATTGTCCTGCCGGTTGTGGTCGGGGATGGAAACGCTCCCTTGTTTTTTTTTCGGTGCTCCCTTCTCCGCATAGGATCTTTAGTGTGTAAGAATCTGGTTGTAGATAAGACACGTATACGGGCTTTTCCGTGGGCAGGAACTCTCGTTGCTACGGCGGCGACCAGTGGAGGATGATGCAGCAACGCTCTATTGGCCGAGCAAATTATGGATATGAACGTTGTGTTTGGCAGCTCTGCTGCAATGGATTCAGTTAAGATTCACACTTCACATACCGGAATTGCGCACTTTGCGTAAATACGAAAAAAGCTCGTCGAAGGCCTGGAAATTGTCCACTTAGTCTCACGATGTTAGGGCAAAAATTGCAGAAACATAATACCAAAAGGCGCGAACCAGTACCATAGCTAAAATTTAATAGCAAAAATTTCAAGTGCAACGCGTAAATTTAAAGGCAACCTAAATTCTAACCTTAAATCTAACGCTGAAGGGGCAAAAAAATTCAGATAATTTCTGGAAGGAATAAGGACAAGCCACCCTAACTGAAAATGCGATAGATACATGCACCGTTAGTTGAAAAAGTAATAGAAAAATGTAGACGATAGCCTTCCCACTCATTGCCCATTTACGATGTTCATCAGTTAATTCAATGAAGATGACATAAAGAATTTTCCTGCTTGCAAAAAGTGCTTCTCAGCATTAACTTCGACATTTTGCTTAATGCAATAGCCAGAAGAGGAATATAAGAAGTTATAAAGTAATAGCACAAAATACGAAGTTTTTGATCGTTCTACTGCCTACCTGAAACTCTAAACACAGTCAGGATAACTCCGATGGGCGTTCAAAATATCAGCCGTGTGTACGTCCAGGATAAGATAATAGAAAGGTAGCCACTTCCTGAGTGCACATAAGAGGAATAAGACTTCAGTTTTTGTGGTCGATGCACGCTCCCCTGAGTGACATAAGGGGAGGTTGGGACATCCTCTGGTCCGGGCTTCGTTAACCGTCTATTGTGAAACATATATAACCGGTCGCTGTCTACAGGCTATATATTCCTTCGTTCATATGGACGATCTCTATCAGAGACACAGAAGACCATCAATATCGTCTAACACAGTTGTTTAATCGCCTTTACGAAATCGGGTTAGGCGTTAAACCCTCAAAAGGCCTGATTGACTGGTCATCGTCAGGATGCGCTGGTTTTCGGGTAAGTTGGCATGAAACGGGATTCTTCTGTTCCAAGGGCCCGTCATTCTTGACCTTCCAACGCCAAGTTAGGAATGTCACTAACAGTGTTTTATTGACATAATCAGCTTCCTCCGTAGCCTGCGTCCAAGCTGTACGTACCTCATGCTTTAATTATTTAACTTGTTCTCAGGCCCCAAAGATTTTCACGAGCTGTCATTGTCTTGAAGGATACAAGATCCTTGGCTTATCCAACATCATCTGCAAAGCTCTTCTCCATTGGAAATGTCTGCAGTGGCATAGTTGTAGCGGTTCTCTTAATACAACTCACGGGCTAACCAACACTTCTCTTTATTTCCTAAGGAGTCTTCACCTGCTGTCACTTACAATAGATTCGGCTCTGTACTCCTGGCCATCTATCTTGCTTAGAAGTGATGCAGACAGCACTTGGAAGCCAACCGTTTTGGTATCTTTGCCGAGCACATGTCTTCCAGCTTCATGATAAAGTCCACTTTGGACAAGTACAACCAACGGGGATAATTTATCTGGACTTCAGCTCGCAGTTCATTTCAAGCATCTGCCAGCCTGGCAACAAGAAACATTCGATGTCTGATGCTCTCAGAGGCCATCCCTCTCCGTCCTTAATTTGAAACGGGGACCGACATCAGAGCAGTTGCCTCTGCACAATATCAGATCGAGTTTTCAGCATTAAAAACGTTGCCCCCCCTAACTTCTCAGGCGTTCCATACATCATCACCAGCGGCGACACCATACTACCCGGATTATTCATCGCATCCGGTCATTTATTTTTCCCTCTTCGATATTTCGACTTGTCTTCGCTTCTCGGAGTGTTCATTCCCGTTCCTAAATCGCAGAATCTCTGCAGATTTTTGCAGACAGGTTTGCCTAGCTCTACATGGGGAAGGGTACGAGGGTTAGGAAGTTGGCGTTTACACGCTGCAAACGGTGTAAAATCCATTGTCACAACAAAACTCTACCCGACCCCGAAGCCCGAAATGCAGATCCGCCAAGCTTACTGATATATGTTCAGTCCGCTGCATCCATCTACCAATTCTACCTGGTTATTGGCCTATACTGGAAGATCTTGACATTGGGCTGAGACAATTCCTTTGTCTGAACTGAAGTCATATACCACCGTTAGTTATCGTTAAGTAACTAAGGCCTGAAGCTGACTGCCGATGGAAGCCCCCACCGACAGATTGAGACTACTTCATGTTCTTCTTGACACTTGGTAGCTCCTATATTCGAGTGTGGTCTGTCCTAACGCCCAAACAGCATCTAACTCGGTCGTTTGCCCTGAGAGTGATAAGTCCTTCCACGGCATGGACTAAAGGACCTTGTTGGCTGCCGTCAACCGACTGATCAACAAGCCGTATAGAAGGTCTCCGCCGCCTACGCCGGATATACTTATTTTAATGCTCCTTGTGGGTTGCTCTTGAATGTGATCACAGCAAATTGCGTTTTATCAATTTTGTCTGCCTGACACAAATTCCAGAAATGCGGACCTACAGTGAACTTCGTAAGCTCTTACGTGGATCTGCGAGAGTCTCAGCTTGCACGCCACTATCTCCAGACGTAACAGCACTGCATAGATGATTTCTGCCAAAAAGAAGTGGCCACAAAGCACTTCGTAGCTTAGAATAGGACGAAACTTTGCCTTTGCGTGAGGGAGGTGGGTATTAGTCAGTCCTAAAGTATAAGGCATTCGAGCTGCTCGTGATAGTACGCGAGTTGGTATTCACGCCCCACACACCTTCGATCGATGGAGGTGACAAAGAAATGACTTCGCAAGTCATTCTGCAGGATGTCCGAGTGTCATTAAATATTTGAGACCAGTCTCATATACATCCCTCTCTTAGCCTAATAAGCCATGCGATTTTCTCTATCCGTCTTTTTGTCGAGCAATAGACTTGGGTAAAGCATTCGTAAATATGGAGTCTTGCTGTAGCTATTTATGCGGTAGATGTCGGGGTTTCTCAACTGATTTAGTGATTTTGAAGCCACCTGAATCTGCAACTGCTTTCGGCCTGCTAGTGGAGTGAAGAATTCAATACCGTCCATTCACGGCTGACTTCTGTTGCGGTTTAACTTCACGATATCACCAAATTTCCACTTCCCAACTTCTTGTTTACTTTGATATGTTATCATTTTGTGACATCACGGCATCTCTCATGAGGGCTTTTGGACACGTTTGAGAAGCGAACGGCCAGTTCTGCGCAGACAAGGCATAGTCGAAACCGAAGACATAGCCAGTTTCGGTCCCATGCATTGATCTGCCCGCATAAATCCACATATGGAATCTTGAACTGAAGTTTATGTAGCCGGCCTGGTTAGCTGCAGACCCGTTGTTGGAATAAGGGTTCAGCAGGTGCTTATGTGGCACTGAAAGCATGTGCTGGTGCAGAGGCGCGGTTTTGACTGGCACAAATCAATGGTCTTTTTCTATTGCTGAAGTGAATAAAAAGACGAAAGATGCCATTTATGTGATCATGTGAAGGCCCGTATGGTGTATTTTGGCCATTCCAATCAGCATAAATGATGAACGGGTGCTAACGAGGAAATGTGTCCAGCAAGACATGGGAACAGGAACCCGCCTGTCGAGAGAGAGAGAGAGAGGGAGGGAGAGAGAAAGAGAGACCTTGCGCTCATTTCCAGGGAGACTAGAGTTAAGGTTAAGATTTGAATTCAAGCCATGGCTGGGAATACTAACGCTTCCTGGAAGTTTGCGCAAGGCCACCTGTATGAACGGGGGAGAGGCGGGGGTTTCTATTTCCCTGTCTTAACGTTTGTCGCTTTGATCAAGCAGCTGTGAGCACAAAGAGCATTAAATGCGCTGTTGAACAACTAGCTTGGACGCGGAGACAGAAGCGCAGATTTAACTGAGCAATCTCATTCGGACGTATTTGGTCATTTAACGTCGAAATGTCCGACCGTTCTAAGTCTCTATTCGCTGTTAACTTGTACGCTATGAATCCACGTAGATTACCAGGCACAGTTGGATTGAAACTTGAAGTTTTCATTAACATTAATTTTTGAGCGTACGACTAGGCCAGGTGTCCGAGGCATAATCAAGTTAAGATAGTTCCAGAGTTTGAAGTCTCCGCCGGCAGAGAATGGAAGTGAAGAATAGGCAGGCAGAAGGTGTGAGCTAACGACCTTGGCAGCATCCTATAAATCATTTTAAATAGGGCTAAAGACGTTACGGTTCTATTCGACAACTAAAAGTTTTGAATTGAAACACGATGATACGCAGGCCTAGTGTGGACAAATTTTTTTTGTACTAGTCTATGCTTCTTCGGTGGAACGAGCGGTTTTCCTAGACTTTACTTTTAGTTTAGCTCTCAATTAATTAAATGGTTCATGGCGTCCGACTCTGTACTTTCTACCGCTTGCCTCATGATGCAGTTAGTTATTATATATACTGCTTTGTCAGGAGCTGTATTTGTATGAGTCTCAGATGTCCGGCAAATAAAGTTGTCTTTCAGTGTTTGGGTTTTCCTCGCACATTTAACCATTGTAGACTTACAAATGGAAGAGAATATGCACATCCCAGGTTCTTATTCAAAAGAAGACCAAGGCATGATTGATAGGATGGCAGCTTTATTAACCTGAGCTTTCGAACTCGAACAGGAGTTCTGCATCAGAGGACTGGTGGAGTGCAACAGCGTGTGAACATTTATACAGTCGTACCGTGAGGGCGGGGGTTGCGTCCGTGGTTCGCGCCGCCTTGACGTGCTTGTCACATGCAGAACTGATGGCACTCAACACTACAGTATGTAGAAAGGCGACTAACACTATCCATGTCCTCAGCTATCATAACAATCATCCGGTGGTGCACAAACGGAGCTCTGTTAGATCTGTCTTTGGTCAGGTAAAAAGTCACTGTAGCAAGCCCCAAGGAAAAGTACAAGAACTACGGTATCTCAGGGGTCAATTGGCAAAGAACGGCTGTCCGGAGATTTTCATCCGTCGCTGCATACGTACGCATCCGCGACGGAAAAATGGAAGAGAGACACCAACGATTTGGCACTCGCTAGCGTACATAAAGACTGTGTCCGAGGCCATTGAACGCAGTTAGGCGAGGACATCGCCCACCGTCTGGCGGCTACCATGTGTACCAGAATCATGAAGATGAAGGATAGGCAAGACACAGGTGAACAATCGGGTGTAGTTTATAAAATCTCGTGCCATAGCTGCCCTTGCCATTGTACTGGCCAAACAGGACTGTGTCTCAGCCCCCGAATACTCCAGCATAAACGAGTCGTTTGGAGAGGCGACCCCCTGCATCAAGTCGTTACTCACACGCTAGAGGAAGGCCATGGGTTCGTCTTCGCCAGCACGCGGATGCTGATGCGAGTTGGCAGCAAGACGGGGCGGAAACTGTTGGAGGCGTGTGCGTCAGACACTAACCCCGTCAATAGATATATTGACTTACCCCAGTGTTATCACGCGCCACGCCCACGGAGCCAGGTGGCACGGCTCATACCTCCGCCAAGGACAAACTCTGTCACTACGCCATGAAACCATCCCGAGCCAGGTTGCGCGAACCAGACCTAGCCACGGGTGCAACATCCCTCCCCTCAACCTCACGGCACTATCGTGTACTTGTTCATACGTTGTTGCATTCCAACAGTTTCTGGTGATGAACTGCCATTCGAGTTCGAAAGCTCAGGCTAATAAAGCTACCGCTCCAGTGATCACGCCCTTGTCTTCTGTTGTGAACTTATTTTGACTTGATTTCTAAGCCTCTTTGATTCCACTTACGACAATATCTTACGTTACTTGGCTGACTGTCAATGAATTGACTCTCTTCAGTTCATATTTCGCGCCTGCACAAAGATAGTTGAGTCGCCCATTGAACTCCAGTTAATCAGATGGGCTTAAGGTCAAAAAGATCATTTGACAACCAACAGATCCGACGGGGCTTATATAAGGCAAAATGTGTGCGATCAAAACATGTAACTGGAAATTCCGAATGCTCTTCAGTAATCTGTGATTTGCGAAAAACCCCGAAAATTAGTTGAGCTGGCGACGAACCGAAAAGTAGTTAATTTACAAGTGGAGACGAACGTTCGAGTTCAAGGCGTATATATAGGTGAAGAAGGAGGGTGATAGAGCACCGGAACATTCTGTTTTATTCTTCTGAGCTTTCGAACTCGTGCGGGAGTCCATCGTCAGGGATATTAGCAGCAACGGAACAAGCGACTGTTATAGGGCGTGTTAGCCAATCACCGATTGATGGCGGAAGACGGGATGTGACTGCGCAGGCCTCTGTACGCCGGCACCAGATCGATAAATCGACCGACTCAGCTCCCATCCGAGGCACAGTCTACAATCAACTCTCGGCCTGCTTTGTTTCCGGCGTGGGCGACTATTTTGGTGGTTGCGACGTTAAACTTACGACCAATTTCGTAGGTGTGGACGATCACTTGTGATAATGCGTCGCCTCGTCGTACAGCCAAGCTCATGTTCGTTTATGCGCGATCCGCGCATGCATCCAGTCTGGCCTGTGTGGTTACAAGGACAATTTTGACAGGGGATGTGATACACTACTCCAGATTGCTCCTCCGGCTTTAACCGGTCTTTAATTTTCATGACCCTACTGCATATGGTGGCTTTGGGTTGGTGTGCAATTTCAACACCTAACTCTGCAGAAATGCGCTCGGTCGCTTCTGAAACGTCCTAATGTATGGCATATGGTTGGTGGTGTTGATGTTTCGGTCCTCTATGGGCAACCGCTTAGGCAGCGACTTATGTATGCCTTCGGGTAGCCATTTTGCACAAAATGGTCGCGGAGATAACGGGCCTCCCGTGCTCTTTCCTCCGTTTTGCTGCAATGAGTTTAGATCCGTTTGAAGAGCGTCTTCACGCAGCTTCGTTGGTGAGCCACCGGGTGGCTGCTATGAAATTGAGAAGCTGCGTGGCGTTCGTTGCCTTCCTATAAACCGTCGTTTCAAGTTCACCATTAAGGTTTCGTCTGAAGAGCACATCAAGGAAGGGTAAATGTTTTTCCTGTTTTCCTTCCCTTGTGAACAGGCTGCTGAAATATTGTAGCATGTCCTTCTTTACGAAGACAAACGTGTCGTCTAAGTAACGGCGCCAAAATACCGCCTTATGGGGAATGAAGGAAATCTTTTCTAGCTCCTGTAGGACCAGTTCTGCCAATAAACCAGAAACCGGTGAGCCCATTGGAGTTCCCTTGGTCTGTTCATAGGTCTCTCTAACGAAAGTGAAGAAATCTACGGTTCCGATGAGAATTTATCGAAAGCAAGCGCATGCTCGCCAAATGCTTTTCTGAAGAATGTTTGTTGGCAGAAGTCAAACAGCCTCATGAAGTGTTCAATGTTGAGAGCACTCTGAGTCTCGTCATACGCCTGCCCAAGTCTCTTGCGGAAGACTTCATGCGCTAGGTTTGTTGGGATTGATGAGAATAACGACGTCACATCGACGGAGACCAGGATTTCGTCCGACTGAATCCTCCGATTCCGGAGGTCTATGAGGAATTGAGGGGCTGATCTTACTGAGGTAGTCGAATTGTCTTGGAGTAACTTCAGTTTTGAATACATCCACTGTGATAAACTGTAAGTGGGACTGCCTTTTGGGGTAACAATTGGCCCCAGTGGGCCACTTGCTTTATGTATTTTTGACAGACAATAGAAACGAGCTAAAGCGGGGCAGGTGTTTTAATTTAGTGCCATTCATTCTCCGTGATGCCACTTTTGTGCCGGTATCCTCTAAGCAGTTTATTCAGCCGGTCTCGCACTCCTTTGGCCTGTGTGTCCTGTGCTGGTCTTTAAAGTTCTTTGTCATCAAGAAGGGTTTTACGGTGAGTGACCAATCTATTAAAATATTGGTCGAAATTCTGAAGTGCGTTTTCGATTAGGAAGGATTACTTAGGTGGGGTTTTAATACTGATTGCCACGCGGAATAATCCTAGAATATTTCGGATTCGTTTGGATGTTGGCTTTTGAATGCACTCTTTTTCGATGGTCTTATAAATTCAAATATATTCTATAGAAAACATGCACAAAAATATGTTTCCTCCGACTCGTTTGGTAGCAAATCACGTTGTCTTCACATTTTGTGCTTGAAAAAATGATGTCTCTCGGTTTTAAAAAAGTTCCTAATTATGAGATTTTTCAAGACCGTGCAATGTCGATTCATGCAGCATCGTACCTGTCCGTTTGTTAATGCTCCTCATGAAATGTACAGCATAGTCCGCATACATTGCAGAATTTTATAAACTCGCTGTGATATCTTCTCAAACGCATAGAGGAATGTATGATTTCCTTACGCGGAAAAGCATACACCTTATAGGCTGAAATCGCTAAACGCTAATGCAGCAGCTGATCAGACTCAAAATTATCCGAGAGTGAGAAAACCATTTTAAAACCAAACTAAATCCTTTCTTTGGGTGTAAAGACGATGTGATCCGTTACCAAACGAGTAAAAGAAAGCACATTTTGTGCACTTTTTCTAGAGAATATATTTGAATTTATAGGACCATCGCAAACCAATGTGAAAAACGTACGCCAACTAATGTGTAAATTTCTACCGAGTGCAGTTTCTACAGGAGGCTGAAAAGAAATGCATTCGAAAACCATCATCCAGACGAGTTTGAAATAAGATAGAATCGTGCTGCTTGATAATCAGTATGAGAACCAGACCTAGGTAATCCTTCCTAATCAAAAACACATTTCAGAATTTCAGCCAACATTTCACGAGACCGGCCATCAATTGTGGCTTTTTCATTTTAGTCTTCTCGGTTCACCACGACAATTAATCGTCCCTTGTCAGCAGGCAGAAGAATAATTCTGTCGTCCTTCCTCAGTTTTCTTATAGCTTTTGACTCACTCTGTGAAATACATTGGGTTAGTCTGTGTGTCATCAGCAAGGAGGTAACACCTTGTCGGACGGAGGGTTTTTTTGTCGTCGGATGTTTCAATTCGCAGGGCTACAATTTCCAGGGCTACAATGAAGTCGACAGGATTGGCATCTGCAGTGTTGAAACAAGTCTCAGGCCGTAACACTCGTATTTGCTGCTCTGTTGGCTGTTTAGACGAGCGGTTATAGACCGAGTTTGAGCTTTCCGCGCCTGATGGTTTTAGCTTAGTCAGTTTCCGTTCCGAAACTTCTCTGTTCTGGGCTCGCCTGTAATGTGCAAAGCGGAGTTCGTCTTCCCAAGATCCGCGGCGATAGAATCACCGAGAGTGTGGACACACTCTCTTGTATTCTCCTCGATCATAGCCTTGTATTTTTGCAGACGCCGGTGGCAGTCGTCTAGCAGAACTCTCGTCATCTGTTTGACAAAACGCATCATAACGTCTCTTCCCATAGCCTTAGTTAATTTCATCATTTTTGTGGATTAACGTCATTTCCGGCCAGGCTCGGTGTTTTATAGGGATTTCAAAAGCTTCGCCTATTAACCTTATAAGACTAAGATGGAAAAAAAAACAGATAAGTGTTAATTTTGTGTGGAACTGCAGCCTTTCTTGCGTGTCCTATCTACGACCCTTTGTCGACTGCTGCGTAAAGAAGTATGTTTTAGCCTATCATCCGATCACTTAGACATTAGTAAATTTTAGGTGTTTCGGTAGATTTCGAGTAATTCATTTTGACCCAGTCACGAAAAACTCGGCAAGCTCGGTTGGATTCCAACTCAGGACAGCAAGGGCAAGGCCTGAGCACGGGTGACGCTTTAAACACCTACATTGAACTATCACTGGCACAGTACCTTTACACTATCTCACACCTTTCCGCTGCACTCAGTGGAGTTGTGACGTGCCAATACAGACAGCACAGACCTCGGCGTACTTTTCTACCTGCGCCCAGGAAAGAACTGGAGAAAATGTCGACTAAGCATCATGACCGGAAAAAGAAAATAATACAGGACTTATAGAGTCACTAAAACTTGCCGCTGTTTTATAACGACAATCCTTGTCCGGGTATGTTTGAGCGAATTCGTTGAAAGCGAAGGAAGGACACTCGGCAACCTCTTCAGTACTGTTGGTAGCTGTCGGTGCTGTGGTTTCAGGCTGTTTTGGTGGTATCCGGTTGCGTTGCAGGCCATCATGCCGAAATACAACTTGAACCAGGGTCTTTCCACCGAGCCACTGCATGTCGTGGTAGTCAATCTCATTATTCTGAATAGCGGATGAGTCGAAGCAAACTTGTTGCGTCGACTAGATACAGAAATAAGAGGACATGAAGGAGAGATGTCTAGGTAACTAAGTAGTGTCTGAGTTACCTAACAGACTCAGTTATGATAGGGAATACAGCTATTTGCGGTTGACTCTAAACAATCAGTGGAAGCGTTGATCGGAAAAGTGTTTCCCTAGACATTCTTGTTAATCTTTGAGAACTGTCTCTTCTGAAGAAAAAGGTGATCAGCGAATATCTTCAATGACAATTTTCCTTCAGATTACCATTGACGGAGAAGCATATTCGTAAAGTTGCGAAACTTGGAGTTGCCTAAATTTATGGCAGGTTAGATGAGGTTGACTCTATGCAATTTTTGAAAGTGGGGAATTCCTCATAGATCAAACATTTGGTAACTCATCGAGGCGTCTCTTTCGGCCGTCGGAGCTCCTAGTTTAAGGCGCTTTACAAATGACTGGAAGTTCGTGTTAAGCTATAAGGGACTTAGCCCACATAAACGTGCTTGTTTGGGAGACACTGGTTTTTACTTTTATCGGTGACCAGTTAGCAGTATCAGTCATTTCTTCATAAAAGGGCGGTCAGAAAAGCCTTGAAAAGCGTTCTATCCGGAAAAGGAACTGATGAGTCGTAAGGCTGAACAGGTACCCCCGCAGATTCAGTTAAGTCACGCAGACGAGACGACAGTCCCGTATGGTCAAATAATTATCACCTCCATCACAACTTTTAAACGGGTATGACGAATCATGGAAGCAGGCGTAATAATAAATAGTGGACAAGGTCGACTACACTGGAAACGCATAAAAATTCAGCTTGGTCTTGTTGTGAAGATCAGTCGTTGACAGTCGACAGCAGAGCCACCTGAAGAAAATATCAGCTAGTTAACGTGGTTATCTCAGGTTCCTCATTTTCTCTAAAATAATATCATCCAGCTTGGTCTAAAAGTAGGCATCACCACAATGAGGCCAATTTGCGGACCATGACCTCGACTATGCTGTAGTTGGAGCACTATCGCACTCTTACGTGTGCATACATTTGTCCGAAATTATGAAGAGACTACGTCATAGAGTTTTGAATAAATCCAGGTAGGTGCATGTCCACGAACGTTTGGTAGAGTAGATTTTCAAAAAAAGTTTAAAACATATGCTCCAAATCAACAATTTTGACAACGTAATGCTGAAAACTGTCTAAATGCAAACTTCATGTGTTCTGTACTTGCACTGCCTCAATAATAAGTTTTGCGAAACTGAACCCCTCAGTGCCTTTGAAACATCCTACCTTCAGTAGACGCCCGTAGTATCGAAAGAAGTACGGCGGCAATCTTTTCATTGGAAAACCCAATTCTATGCTCTTTATTGAAACATTTTCGGGCACCCATCGCAGGAAATCTGGATCAATGCAATCAACAGGTTCCACTTCGTTCTCTTTATTCACTGGCGTATAAATGAAGAGGTAGTATTGATCAGCTTGTCCGATCTGTACGCAGTCTAGGTATGTAATTATCTCCTCAGGGAATGGCAAATCCGCATATCTAGTACAGGACATCTGAACACCAGCCTCTTCGTGCGTTTCAGGAGCCTTAGTTGATGTTGTATTGTCGAAGACGGTAAAAAGGTCATCAATAGCAGGAACAATGGGTGTGGTCGTCTGTGCCTGTGTCTGGTGTGGACGCGGTCGTCGTCTTGTTTCTGGTTTGTCTTTAGTCACCTCGTGCTTCAGTTTCCTGATGAAACAGCTCACATCGGGACAAAAACGGCATATAGGCGCATTTCCAATAGGTCCGTAGGGGAGGCTGAATTCTCGATCACTGCTGTAGTCCCCAATGCTCTGACCAGGGGAAGAAGACCTCACTTTGGCGGCCCAGTATCCACGGGGACAGATATACGTCTGTAGACCTGCTGCCAGGTGTAGGAAACCAAGGAGGATGCTGGCCAACATGGGCATCAGGCTGTTCGCGTGGCTTCTGAATAAATCGTCCCCGTCGCATCCGACGCACAGCCCCAGCGTTGGGATTTGATTGGTTGCCAGGTCAACCGCTAGGCGTCGGCCGATCGTTAACTCTGGCCTTGAAGTGTTGTCTGGCCTGAAGTAGCACCACCAACCCTAAACACTGACTTATGTGCATGCGTGCCTGTGGAACCTTGTTTTAACACAGTTGGTCCCCAAATCGGGATGGTGTTTTAGCATCAGTCCTACAACGGCGCCTATGTTGGTGTCGAAAAACTGTCCCGATAAACTGTTGTTTACTTGGGTAGATAAACCTGTCCGCATGTGGCGCATGCAGACAGCAGGAAATGCACGGTTCGCCACTGCCCAACCTCATTTCCACTGGTTTTAACTCAACCTTGGTAGAGGAACCTGCTGTGGTAAGCATCGGATGAAGGCCTCCAAGCATCTGTGGTATACAAAGAATACCTCTTATACTTATTTAAGTGGGTTTTGGTCCTCCCGTAAAACCCCTATTACCACTTTTCCCGTAAGACAGGCCCCTTTGTCTGGTCGTGCATTTGGGGTCCTTCACTCGATCGTTAGCCTTGTTGTGGATGGGCGGAGCATGTGAGGCTGACCCGGAATAAGTTTTCCTTACTTTGAGGTAGCTGGATTAGTAACCGCAAATAGAATACAACACTTCGGCACTCTAATGCCTGCCGAGTTCCACCGGAAATGTACTCAGAGGCGGACACCGGCACTCATGCAAGGGTGAGCACAAATGCTGCCGCGGAACTTTGTCGTATGAAGCGATGGTTCCAGTCAGCCGATGATACATTTACACAAAAATCTAAAATGATAGCAGGAGGAATAGATAAAGAGTAACTAACTTTTACCCAAAATTGTATCAAGAATTAGAAAAGTGAATTTATCGTGGTCGTTTTGGTAGATAAAGAAGTACACAATCAAATGCAAACTAGCACTGCAGCAAGAAGGAAAAAGAAATGGATAAAAGAGTCAAATGAGGTGAGACCAATACAAAACCCCTTAATCTACCGAACAGTCCTCAACCACCAGCTCGGTAGACACAGTCCCATCCCACACTTTCTGCCACCGAACATTTGAATCACGCATCGGTATAGCGGGCGATCTGCGACTCCATTATACTGAAACGGGCTCACCAGTGCCAGACGCTGTGACATGCTTCCTCACTCTCGTCTCACCTGCCCACGTAACCTCGGGACATCCAACCATCGTATGGGTCTATTCGGCTATTGCGCCCCCATGACAATCATCAATAAACACCAATGGCTAGGTCATATCCCGACATTCTGGTCTAGGACAGTTCGATCGTCGCAAGTGACGACCTCCATCGCGTGCCCTACAGAGTGGGATGCAGCACCGGTGTCTTGCGAGTGAATTGGTTTCTAAGGAGGTAGACATGCGCAGCACCCACCACACTTCCTTCTCCGTTTTCCACTTTGCTCTGTTGACAAGACCGTACCAACACAACCGGAGGTGGGTGCGAACGCAGCGACTGACAAAGCTAAACGGCCCGCCAACACGTATCAGACACGGCCTGTCTCCAGCCCCAGGTGTACCAGGCTACTGTAAGGTCGGTTGGTATCTCACACCCGTGAAAGTGGTATAAAGGTACTGGGGGACACACCTGCAAACACCTGCATCAGTAGGCCACACACGAAACTGAACCCAAACTCGCACTTCAAAGCAGGCATTACTCCTGCAGTATGCATGCTGTGCGATTTGCCAGCACCGGTATGGCGGGTGAAACTTCCCGTCCCAGAGCGTGCGCATCTCAGTCGCGACATTCAGTGCGGCCTGGCACGTACGGGATGGGCATGAGGCCGCGTGTGGCACGCATAGACAGAGCGCCGAGCTCCGCCAACCATTGCGTCCAATGTAATCTTCAACCGACTGACAGGCTCACAAAGCCAACGGGTGCATGAAAGAGGGAGCAGAGAGTCAGGGGAATCCAGCCTCACTTCACATCGGCCTACTTCTCAACGTTACAAAGCTGGCGCGCTTGAATCTGTCATGACTCATTACGAGACATGGCTTGGAAGTTTTCCAACTGACGGGTTACCTCTCAGGACAAAGAAACAGGCTGCAATAGCTCCTTTTCGTATGGCTTTCGTGATATTCTCATTCAGAGATGCAAGCGGTCCTTGCGCCTGGAGCGAAGTATAGGCCGTGTGTGATAGGCATAGCGGGCTGATAGACTTTGTAATTCAGTACACTTGAGTCTACCTACAGTCGTTTTTTCTTTGTCTCACCACCGGAGCAATGTGGGAGAGAGAGAGGGAGAGATTGTGAAGAACCTGATGGATGCCGCGCGAGTCCGCCTAGCTATAAACAACTTTAAACCTACAGTGCGTGACCGATCTCATGAAATGTTGGTCAAAACTCCAAAATGCGTTTCCGATTAGGAAGGATTACTTAAGTGGGATTGTTATACTGATTATCATGAAGCATAACCCTATAACATTTCGGACTTGCCAGGATGTCGGCTTTTGAATGCATTTCTTTTTGACTTCCTGCAGGAACCACACTCGGAAAAAATGACTACTTAAGTAACGTGCATTCTTCATACTGATTTTCGATGGTCTTATAAATTCAAATATAGTTCACAGAGAACATGCACAAAATATGCTTTATTTTGCTCCTTTAGTAGGAAATCATATAGTCTTCATATTCTATTTCCGAAGAAAGTGTATATTTTGGTTTAGAAAAGTTTCTAGTTATGAGATTTTTAAGACCGTGCGATGCCCATGCATGCAAGACCGCACATGTCCGTTAACTAATGCTCCTCACAAAATGTACAGCACAGTCCGGATCCATTGCAAAATTTAACGAAATCTATGTGGTATCCTCTTATAGGCATGGAGGAATGTATGATTTTCCTCACGCGGAAAGCATCCACCTTGTAGACGGAAATTGCTAAACGCTGATGCAGTGGCAGATCAGGCTGAAAACTAATCGGGAATTGGGAAACGCAATGGACGTTGTCGCTTGCGACGATCAAAATATCTTTCGGTGACAACACATCTCAGATAAGACGGACCTTGCCATAGAGCCATTCCAGGTGACGGTAAGAGGCTTCTGTTGTAAATGGGCGGATTGTGATAATCTTCGAAAACAAATAGTGTATTGCTTGGCGCCCTAGGGAGTCTGTGACGAAATCAAACTTGAGGAAATGATCGGACGCCAATGTTAATTTTCCTTCATTTCAGACGGCTATCGAGAGATAATCTTCTTTGGTTAATTGATGTGTGGAACAAACAGTTAGAGAAATGCTGATAGCTGGATCGTCGCACATAGAAATAGGGTTCGATTACTATCGCATTTCCGAAAACCCATACTTTCTTTCCCTTTCCCGATGTTTTGGTTTCCGCATAAGAACCTTAAAAACGTTCGCAGGTCTCTGCTGATCTCTTTAAAGAGCTATGTTAAGGTTCGAGTAAGTGCATGTCGTTGCACAAAATGCAGTTAGAAACTCAGATAAATTACTAACCATAGAGATCTACCTGTTCAGCCGGCTGTCCGATTCATCCGATGTGAAACGAAAATCGTAGACCCTTGATGTGCATGCGTTTATAATCCTGCCCACTGCGCAGGGATTGAAAACTCGCCAAATGTCTGGTTCTACTACTTATTGATCAAATTACCTTCTGTTCAGAGTCGTTCATAGTCGTTGAAGAAGGCAGTTTTTCGATCATCGAGCAGTAAAGCGCGCAGTTTTCGTAACTATGCGGCACACTTTTCACGGATTCATAGGGTATAAAATGCAAGCTAGGCGCTGAAGTGTTAAACAGATAACTAAGGGTAAGGCAACGGCACGATAAAAACTCTGAGCAAACCAACGACAGACGGATGGATCACACGCAAGACCGATAGACAGAAGAGTATGAAACGAACGAAAACGCCAACGTAAAAATGACCAACAACTGAAGCACGGGAATAAAAACATGGGGAAGTCCATACCAAACGTAGTCCCGCCTTTAGACATAAACACATCCTTGTGGTGCCGACACACACATCTGCATACAAGTGACGGAGATGATACACGTAATTGTGGACAAACAGGCGGTAACTTCTGTGAAATTAGTTCTATGGGACGAAGACGTTTCTGGAATGTTGCATACATAGATGCAACAGCCGTCTTTGACAGTTGAACTCCGCATGAATGTCCTTCTCCTGCTTTGTAGGCAAGCCTGTTGGACACGACAATATGGACCCCCCGTATCAGGGGTGACTTTGCGCCAAATTCCAGAGGAAGTTAGAGTTGCGGTTTGTGTTGGCGTTAGGGATCGGAAGGTGAGGGCAAATGCTAGAGTTGAAGTTGCGAAATGGGAATCGAAATCTGGAATTTGGCGCGAGACCACCTGTAAGACTGGTGGGTACGTATTCCCGTGTCCGACCGGCAAGCTTGCCGAACCTAAGCATGCGAGTGAATAAAAGACCTGGCTTGGCAGGAGGAAGTGATCTACAGTCGCCTTGCCAATTTCATGAAGTATCCTGCAGATCTCACTGGGGATCTGTACTCAGTCTTCTATTATCGACTTTTGGAAGATTGAGCAGTATCGGGCTAGCTGTATATGACAGGTTCGACATTAAGCGAGCCCATTTCGTTACCTAGCAAACAAACTTTATCAAAACGTACATTTTGCAAATGAGGCGCGCCGGTCACGTTTGAGGACAGTGTTCGAGTTGGTGTCAATTCAAAACCCTGTTAGGAACATAGAAGTTTGGTCCAACACAACTCCGAAGACGTCTTCGAATATATTTTTGCCTTCGCAACAGCTGTTGGCATTGGCGACGTCAGACTGGCAGTAATAGCAATCCCAAATGCATCTACAGAGTTGGTACGAAAACTGGGCATATCTCTAGAGGTCATGTGTAGGCACAATCGCAAGTCTTAATTTGATTTACTTAAAAAAGACATTACAACTTCTGCACACTTACAACGGGATCCTATTTGCCGATGTAAGCACTGA